TTTTGACGAATCTTTTGGATATTCGTCTTTACTTTGGTTGGAATTTCACGAAAATTTGATTTAATTACAATAGCATTACGAATGGAGTGAAATCGATTTTTTCGTTTTTGTTTTTCTTGAGATACCATTGAAATATTTGCCGAAGTTGGTGTGGCGAGAGGTTTGTCTTGTTGAATAGAATCTCGGTTTAAACGAGATGAAGAGTCAAGTTTTAGGTTGGGACGTCGAAATTTAAAATTCACTTTAATCTTTTTTTTAAAAAAAAAAAATGTACGCGTTACATAAATGAAGAATGAAATCTATATTGAAGAAAAAAAGCCCCCCAAAAAAGAATTTACCATATTTTTGACCTGTCGACCTCGGTAGAATTTCTTTGTAACATATAAAACTTCTACGGCTTTACAAGTCAATTGTTTTTTAATGTGAGATTCATAAATTTCGTTACAAAATCCAATTATTTCTTGAGTATGGATACTCATTTGAGGAACAAATTCCGTAAGCATCCGTTGAATTAAATCCAAATACCCGATCAAAAGGGTATCGATATGATCGGGTAACGAGCACCCTGCAATTCTCCTAAATAAAATAACCGTACAAATTTATTAAAATTTAAAATAATTGTTGTTTGTTGTTATTCTATTTTATTTTATTTTGACTTACCCTCCATATTTAAGCACCTTATATTCAAAATTTCTAAATTTTGTGTTTTTCTTCTTTACTGTTTCAAATTCGTCGGTTGATAATTTAAGTAGCAGTTTATAAAATTCAGTAACCCTTCCCGATTTTTCCGATTCATCAATTTCCGAAAGTTGTTGACGTAATTTGAGAAATTCTACTCGTATTTCTTTCCAACCATAAAACCACTCTCCAGCAGGGTATTCAAACTGTGAAGTGCGCAGCGTAAAATGATTTATTTTTTAGCGATTGAAGATGAAATACAATAAAAAATTCTTTTTTTTTTATTTTTTTTATTTTTTTACTTTTTTACCAGATACTCACGTCCAAAACATTGATAAAAGACCCAAAAGCGGCCGAATATTCTTTAGTTACAATGTTAGAGGTGACATCAAAAATGTTAACATGGTTATGATCATCCTTAATCTTTCGTAAGCAAGTTCGAATTTCACGAAGGGAAAACGTGATATTCGCGTTTATAACTTTTGAAGAACGATAAGCAGCCCAAAATTTTGATACACTTTTATAAAGCGTATCACGGACATCTGTATTAATCATTGCACTGTATTCGTTCGCAATTAAGATGTGTAATGCGGAAGATATTGCGCGGCTGTAAATAGCATAATGCGAATAAGGACCATTGAAATTAAATTCGTTTAAAGCGGTGTTTGTATTATGATGTAAAAACATACAGGTGAAGTTCGAGCCGCGCAGTTGAATTTCCGTAATGAATCCATCGACGGTTGGAAATATGAATGGCGGCTCTAGAAACGAAATTTATCACTAAAAAAAAAGAAGAAAGATTATTTTATATTTTTGTTGTTTAAAGACATATCATGTGATAATTAAAGTAAAATACGACATCATACCAACTTCATTCGTAATTTGACGATCGACCAAACCTTCCGTCAAACGAATTGTCTCCTCCAAAAGATATCCATAAGCTCTGGAAAAAAGACCGAACAAATCAAAACGTCGGAATTTGGAGTGCGCACTAGCACCAGAAAATTTCTAAAAAAAATTCACAAAATCCATGAATAAACTTACATAACATTTTCATCCGCTAACAAATCAAGAACGTCTTTATATTCTTGAATTTGTTCATCTGATAATTGGACTTCGGAAACGGACGAATTAATTGAATTAACATCGGAATTAATATTAAGTAAACTAGTCATGGAGGATTTTTTTTTTTTGGTTGAAAATTCTTTTATTGCTGCTTCTTTTAAAAGAATAATGGGTTACGCAAATAAAGCGGGGGTGCGGTTATTTGCGAAAACAAATATGGTATGGTGAGCCATGTATTAGTAGTATGCTGTGTCCGTGTCAAGCATATATGTAAAAATACTGCACATTAATGCTAAAAACACCCTTGGGATTGGCCTAAATAAATTTCATTATAAACTTCTAAATCTATATACTGACATATTCGTTTGGCTGTGGCACCTGACAAATATAGCATGATCACGTGACATGCAATTATTAATAACCTGTCGTGAACATGTCACTCATCATCATAATTTTTCGCATAAGATTTTGATGATCATGTGACTGTGAAACTTTATTTTATTTCCTAGTCAAATGATATACGAACATTATTAATGATAGGTAATCATGAGTGACACGCTCTGACGGAATACACATTTATTTATGGGGAGGGAATACCATGGGTTTTCCCTTCGAAAAAAACCATATTATTCTTAACTCTCCATGAAATAAATAATACAAAAAAGGTAAGGTTATGCAAATTCATGGTTTATGTAAAGTTTGCGTTTAAATTCACTATCTCGATTTAACTGTTAATCTTATTAGTGTAATTTCAAGTGATTCCAGGAAATGACAACTTGGAACAAGATCTTGAATATGAACATTCCCACCGCAGGACAATTCAAATCTTGAAAATAAGTGTCAAAAAATATTTTTTTAATTAATGAAATCTGATTTAAACTTCTAACTATAGAAAGTATCTTGAGAAACTTATGTATTTTAAAATTTAAAATGGTTTTGCATTTTTTGTAAGTTAATTTCAAATTAAAAGAATATATTTGGAGGTCGTTCCAAAACAACCAACCGCAGTAATCTAAGTGACAAATGAAAGTATTTTGTCTTCAAAAGTTTACGCACATGCTTTGGTGCGACATTTCGCAAAATTTTTATTCAGTAAATTTGTTCCTATGTTTTAAAAAATATATATCTTACCTCCAAAGAATTTTGAACTTTCAGTCAAGTTTAAAAAGGCCAAAATATGGGTTAAATCCATATTTTTAAAATTTTTTCGATTCAAAATATGAGATTAATTAAAAATCATTCATTGAAACGAATGTAATGCGATTTGATGAAAATTTTGATAAGATAATTATTAGATTTCAGAAAAGTTGCACAAAAGTCATGATTCTTAATGAGATTTTACTGGAAACGCCCACTCTTATACTTAATGGAAAGAAAAGATTTTATTAAAAGTTTGAAATCAGATTATGCCCAATGAAGTTCACCAAGCGGATGTTCTTTATACACGACATGTTAAATCTGGACGAACAATTTATCTTTTTTACCTTAATGTAGTTGTTATAGCTTCAAGATATAAAGCAACTATTCCTATAGGTATAGCCCTTAGAGGACCTACCAAGAGAATTAATATGGTATTTTAAATACATCGAACTATATTTGAAGTTTTAATCTTCAAATATGTGATTGAAAATGAAGGTCGGCAGCATTATCTAAATCAAGTTGTCTGAATAAATATCAAAATTTTCAGTTCAAACTTTAATAAATCAACTTTTAAATAGTAAATATTATTCCTCATAAAAATTATAATCAAACGAATGAAATTACTAAAATCAATGATTTTTATAATTTAGCGATATTAAATTGTTCTCATTTTATCTGTGTGAATGACATTACGCCACATTTAGCAATTGCTGAAGGTGGAATGCATCATACAATTATAATCCAACAAATAAAGTTTGTGGTATTAAATAGAATACGTTCAAGCCAATCTCGAAGAAAATCAAATTGATGAAAACATAAATAGTAACGTGTTGAACCAATGACAAACTTAATGCACTACACTTTATCGAAAATTATGCGTTGAATCAAGGAGTGAAAATAGATGCGAAAGCAAAGTGAAATGATGTAAAGAAAGAAATTTTACAAGAAACTTATTATCATTATTAATATCTTTTAGTTATTAAGCATACTCTTACGATATCTCCTTTTACACTTTTACGCTGTATAGTTTTTTCTTTACTATACAAGATCATAAAAATTTTGGTACTTCGTTCAAAAAAAAATTTATTCTTCTGGAAATATGTATTTATAATATTCGTCATTTATTATTTCCGATTTAATAGAAATAACAAAAATTTTCTTTCTAGAAAGTTTAAGTTCTAATGTATTTGAAATACTATTTTCTATTGTGGCCGTTTAAAATTAAGAAATGAATTTAAATTACAGTATTAATATATCAATACGAGGTGGCAATATCACTTTTTTTTCAAACGGTTAATGAATCCAATAACCAACTATACGATGATATATATTATTCCCTAACCATAACAAAAAGTTTATACATATTCTATATAAAGGTTTGATTTAAATAAATAAATTTAAACATACTTTCCACTCTTATTAATAAAGAACCGCCTAAATTTTTGCATTAATAAATTTAATATTATTGTACTTTATTAATTAGAACAAGAGAAAATTTGTTTATACGGCTCCGACAAGACAATTAACCAAATCAACAAAAATTCGACCAATACTTAGATGCTGCAATTAATTATACGGGTAGTGAATTACATATCAAAATTATCATCGTTAACAAATCGCCACCATCTATCTTACATTGAATTTCAAAGATTCACAAAATATTCAATTGATGAAACATTCTTACAAAGAAATACTTTAATAATTGTTTATTATGAATCAATTAAAAATGTGTATTGTAAGGTTACTTTTATCATAATCGATAGAATAAATATAAGTAATTTCATGGGGAGTTAGGAATATCGCAGTTTTTTTCCCGTAGGGAAAAAAACTACGGTATTCCGATCCCCATGAAATTACTAAGTTATACCCAGGAGCGTGTGATTTGTGATAATTATTA